GAGAAGATGAACTGCACCTTGACTTTAGGCGAAACAGAAAAAAGCACAGATGCTGGTAACTGCTTTTTAGCTAGCAGTTACCAGCTAAAATAAGCTGCATGCACCAGTAGTTGGATATCTTCAAGACTGATAGCTGTAATGGATAAAAATGGTTAGAAAAATCAGACTTAAGGCAGCTTGTGGCATTGAACAAGGAAAAACTGTCTGTCTTTCTGGATGGTTAGAGCTCAAGGTGATATAAATTGAGCTGAACTTTGCATGTCCCTTCTCATCTATGAAATGTATTTAAGGTCTCAGCTCAGTTTATAGCCTAATGGCAACATCTTTCTGGTTTATGGAAAGACTCCCACTGTGAGTATGTAAGAAACACTGCAAGAAGGAATGAAATCTACCCACATTTTAGTGCTGGTTTTGATGATAACAGCTGCATGCACATGAGACTATTAATCTGGTGAGTAAGTACTTCCAGCATGTCTCATATATTGTGTTTTTAAATGTTCCTGGTCATATCACTGGACATATTTTATAAACCCTTATCAGTTCTCCTACCTGTGACATTCACTAAATGAGCACTGTTATCTCTCAGTAAGTGGTTTATTGTTCCTTTGATCATTCTACACATTGTTTCAAGCCACAAAAAAGACATTCAAAAATCAAAGTTAAATATAGAAAAAGCTCAGCAGCTCAGGGCTGAAAGCTGCACAGTACTGATAGCTACCTATAATGTGTCAGGTTCCTGCAGCTGACTCTGAGGTCAGGGAAAAAGCCATAGGTCTGTCTGTAAGTCAAAACATATCCTAAAATAGTCATAAAGCATTAAATCTACCTTCAGCTCTTAATAGATTTCCTATCTATTGCTAAGTAAAGCACGTATGCTGGCTGGCCATGTTCCCTTGTTGGCTGAATGATTGTTTTGTGGAAATGCTCTAGCTTTTCAAACCTGTTAGAGACAAAAAATTGCCTAAGCTGTCTGACTGACACAATGAAGCAAGACAGAACTTTTTTATTAAATGTTTACCTACATGAGCACACCTGTGCAGGCACTGCCTTGTGTGACTCTCTATACAGCAGTGTCTGTGTTCATGCTGCTCTCTCCAGAGGCTGGTGAGGCACAGACACATCCCAAGTCCAGCTACAGGCTTGGGATGTCCCTGAGCTCCAGGTGTGCCTGCAGTGCTGCACCCTGGGGCTGTTTCTCGCACACTGAGAGCTCCACTTCTGGCTCTGGCTCCCCCAGGGATGGGAAACTGAATTGGAAAGAGAACCAGAGAAACTGGCTGAGTGAAATAGTGCTGTCTGAGAGGGCACAGCTCTCTTGTACTGGTCTGGCAAAAACTGAGTCCATGAAAGAAAACATCTGCTGCTTTCTCATGTCCACACTGCTTTAGCAGTGCTGATGTGGTTTTACATCAGGCAGTACAGAGATGATCAGCCACTTGCACAATTCTTGGTTTGAAAAAAACCATAGCACTGTTATGCTGAGTGTTTTTGAATGCATCTACTGATGCAGTAGATGTGACTTATCTACATGCAAGTAGATGCTGCTTTGTAACCTGGGAGGGACAGCATGAAAAACTTCCCAGGCTATCTCCTCATCTCTGGTGCTTGCTTGGCCCCACCATCACAGAGAGAGATCAGAGCTGACGAGAGCCTCAACTCATCACTCTGCTTCCTTTCTTGAAGATGGTCACATTTGTGCATAGAGGGCAAACAAGCAAAGGGTTTCAGGAGATAAAACTCGTGGTTTGCAAGAGATGAAGCCCTGTCTGACTGTTAAGAGTGATAGATTTTAAGAAATTGCTAATGTTGTCTGTCTCTCCTTTGGAGGAAAAATGTATATTGAAAAAATTATGCCATAGTGGAGTTAGTTGCCCATTAGTTTGTCTGATATTTACTGGTTGGATGAAGAGTTTACATGTTTAGCATCTGTATCAAGACAAGTGTTTTTTCTTTCCTTTTTTTTTTTTTTTTTTAATATGTAGTAATAGCAATCACAATAAAGTGATAAGGTTATTTTATGAAAATTGTAATGTTTGCTTTTCTGAGGCTGGCCAGTTAAATTGCTCCAGGACGATTTTTGCATAAGCAAATTCAAGTTTCAGGCAGAGTCTGTCCCTGCCACTGTTGTTAGTCACTGTTGTGACTAACTCCTGTGGACTTGTCTGCTGCCTAGGCAGTAACTGGGGATCTGTGTTCCACTTCTGACTGAAGAAAGAGGACATAACTGTCCAAAAAGAGAAAGGAGAAAAAGTGCCAAACTTCCTGTCTTCTATTTTACTGGTGCCTCTCTCCCTTCTTATGCTTCAGAGGTGGAGAAGGGAGCCACTAAACAAAAACAAAGCTGAGTTTTGGAAGGCAACAAACAGTAGGCTCATGCCACAGGAGGAGAACACTATGTGTGTTTGTTTAATGTCTTAATTTTGCACTTTCTTTTCCTTATGTGCAATTGATCTAAGCCAAATAGCAATGCCAGTGTAACAGGGTGAGTAGCTCAGCTGTGCTGCTGTGCTGGCACCTTGTGGGTGTCATCTCTCCTGTGCCAGAGGAGCAGACATGAAGCAGCAGTACCTGACCAAACATCTTTGTTTTGCTTGGCATAATGTGTATTTGTGGTTATGAAGGTGTTTCATGCATCAGCCTGGAAAGAGTCTGCAGTGAATTGTAAGAGCTTCTCTGGGGGTAAAAAAAAAAAAAAAATTAATAAGACTGAAATGGGTCCATGTGCATGAAAAGCCATAAAAGTAGGCAGGTGGTGGGGGTGAGTGGCACTTGATGCAATTCTTACTTCAGCCATCAATTTCTCTAATAGGAACAAGCAAAGAGATTTGGCAAACGATTGACCCTAAGTTTATCTTTCCGTCATTTCGGCACATGAGCTTTCAACTGTAATGCTTATTAGGGGTTTGTGTTTATTTGGGAACGGGACAGGAATGGGTTAGTCTTTGCTTTGGTTGCCCCCTTGTGGTTTCTTGTGCTGGCTGAGTTAGACATTCTAACGTGTCTACTGCTACTAAGGGGTATAGTAAATGTGAAGTGGTGCTGCCCATCCCTTATAGCTCATTGTTTGCTTTGAACTGCTAATTCTATGTGTGCTGGACTTCAGATCCAGAGAGCCTCAGCTGTCTCTGTGCAACTGACTCCATTTATGTTCACCTTGTCATGTGTATTGCTCTTAAGCAATTGTGGGAATATTGCAGACAGAAGGGCTGGATACTTAGGGAACATTTATGTTATGTTTCAAACGACTGACTCACCTTTGATTCTCCTGCCTTGTCTGCACAGCTTACTGGTGCTTAAGAATGCCCAAAGGCAGAAGGGTAAAATGAAAAGAGTCTAGAGATTAATCAAACACTCACATACTTATATTTTGCTTAGGTAAAGTATATTTTTATATGGGTACTTGTATTGATATGTGATAATCTCTGTCCTATTAGTTTCATTATCTATTTGATTTTTGAGCCTAATCAGCTACAAACTTGATCTCCATTATTTGGTAGCGCAGTCTCAAAGGCTGGACTCAGTAATCTCAAAGGTCAGGCTTGGTCTGAGGTCTTTTCCAACCTTAATGATTCTGGGATTCTGGCATCATTTTTTGTGTGTGCTTTGGACTTGCATACACTTTATCATGAAGCAATCATAGGCTATGTCAGCCTTAACACTGTTTTGTTTTCTTGAGTGCTTGGTCTTTCAAAAGATTTACCCAAAGAAGTGCTCACTTCTATGAATAAAGGCAGAGGCTCTGGGTGACTTCAGCTGAGCTATGCCAATCTTATGTCCTGGTTTAATACTTCTCTTGAGTTCAGTTTTATTCATGATGTCGATTCTCTTTTATTGTGGGGTGTTTTTTTGAGTTAAAAGATGGTTAGCTGTTTTAGAGATGCCTAACAGGATGGATGATTTAGTTATTGGATTTTGCAGCATCTTTCAGTTGAGCACAAAGGATTGGTATTGCTTGTCTCAAGAGAATTGTGAGAAATAGCCCTAACAACTAACATGTTTAACAAATGGATGCTTTCAGTCTTGCTGGTTGCTCAGGTTGTATTTTTCAAAGAATCATGCAGTCCTTTGGGAAGTGGAAGCTGCCTATGGCTGGTGTGTAGTGGCTAGCATCCAGTCTGGGTGCTACATGGTTTTTCCCCAGGGGTGGTACATCCTTTAGGGGAAGCAGCAGTGCTGTGGGATGGGGGCAGCTGAAGCTGCTCAGGGAAGGGCTTTGGAGGCAGAGGCTGCAGGGCTGAGCAGCCTTGCTCCCCACAGGGGGAAGAGGATTTCTGGGAGGTTGCAGACAGCTGGGCTGTTTCCCTGGCTGTCCCAGATCTTATGTTGGAAACCAGGACCCCCTCCCTAAGGACAAATGTGTCAGCCCCTATCCCTGGAAGTGTTCAGGGCCAGCCTGTGTGGGCTCTGATCAACCTGGTTTAGGGAGAGGTGACTGCCCATGGCAGGGGTTTGGAATTAGGTGGAATCAGATCTAGGTTGTGTTTCAAATGCCAAATGTCAGACTTTATGTATTTGGGGTCTTTTAGGGATCAATTATAAAAGACAGTATAGCACAGCCTATTAAACTTTGGCTTAGCTATGGTTTGTTTTTTTTCCCCAGTTTATTGGGCTTTGGATCAGCAAAAAGGCAAATATTTGAAACATGCTTGGGGGTTGTGTGGTGATTCAGCCAAAGTAGTCCTCAAAATAGGAAAGAGCAAGGAATGCTCTTTCCATGAAGGGCAAGGAAACAGCAAATCTTGGAGGTAGGCTAAAACTAGTTTTACCATATGGTTTCATTTGATAATGTCCAACCCCAAACCTCAGTGTCTGAAGAGAAATAAACTATCCCACAGGAAGCAGGATCATGCAACACTTACCAGCTGTGTTTAGGGATAATCAAATACCAATGACATTTCACTGTAAACAGATGATTTGTGATGGCATAATTATCTATTCTCCCCATAGGTTATTACACTGCATGGCATTATTTTAATTGTTTAATTTCTTTTCATTTGCAGCTTCCTTATTGTGCTGATATGCCTTATCTTCAGCGTGCTTTCTACAATTGAGCAGTATGCAGCTCTTGCTACAGGGACATTATTTTGGATGGTATGTACATGGACATTAATGTGATTGATGTGTGTTTGTTCTCAATGTACAAATTCTGATCTCCTGAGCTAACACCATATCAAACAAAATGCTCCTTGTGGTTTAATTGACAAGAGACTTTTCTGCTTTTCCCTAATGAATCTGCAAACTACAGAAATTCTAAAAGTCATGGTAACCCAAAAATGAGGTGGTGTACCCTCTGTGGCCTATACTGAGGACACCTGTGGTGTGTCCAACACATACAGTTATTCTAATTAAGCTTGATCCCTCCTTTTGCTTGGGTTAATACTTTTTTCAGCCATACTGCAGACCAGATACCTGGCCACAGCAGGGGAAAAAAAACTAAGTGGACATCCTTTCATTTGGTTGATGTCATATCCAGCTTTGTTTCAAAAGTGGAAAACTCACATCCATTGACTTTAAGAGAACTTGCTCTACCTGTCTTATGCTCTTTCCCTTCAGTAGAGAAAACACAGTCACCATGGTTGTAGTACACCAGTGCTGCAGCATAGATGTATCAACAAATGCCTCAGCAGTGATTGTGTCCTGCCAGCCTAGGTTTCATTGAAGAGCCTTAGTTTTGAGGTTGGAGAGGCATGATTTTAAACATCCAAACTTTTAATGAATTTGTTGTACCTCACTAGTGGGATAGCCCCTGCTAAATCATTGATTTCTTCTTTATAAATAAATAACCATTGTTTATAAATAAATGACTATTATTTAACTGCTGGAAACGCTGTCACTTCATTGAGAAAATGCTAATGAAGCAATTTAAATGTTTGTTCAAAACAGGTATTGTAGGAATGCTTCAGTAATATCATTAAGTGTATTACCACTATTCACATGAAAAAGTTCACTTAAGACCCCCATAAATGCTAATAATTTTTGTCTATTTATCTATTAAATATGCCAAGGTTCTATACCTAATATGAATGCTGTAAGAATAAGAATATAGCATATTAAATTTAGTGTCAATCTGCATTAAATGCTTTCATTCCTGCATATTATTTTGAACTAGTAAGATATTTGAACTCCTAGGTGTAACAGAACTAGTGCCAGCTAAGAGCATCCACACCTTTATTTCTGCATTCAGTACAATTTTTTTTGTGGTTCGGCATTTTCTCTTTTGTACAGATTTAATTTGTTTTGGGTTTTTTTACTCTATAACTAGTAGGGTTTTTTATCCATAACTTCTGCCAATGTCTGTGGTGAATTTAACTCCTGGTAATGTCTCAGTCACCTTTGCAATATATCATAATATTTGACATGTGTGTTGTCTCAGTGAAACAACTTCTAGTGACAACATCATTAGCAAGGTTTCATTCTCTGCCCCCACCCTGTGAAATCATGGAGCTTGTTTTGGTTTGTTCAGTGTGTGTTGTCTGTACCTGGCAGTGTGAGGTGCATGCAAAGCATTCAGGATTACACACAGAGTGTGGCATGTCCAGTATTGTGTATTTCTGCTGTTCTGTGTTATCATCCTCTCTAAGCAATAAAGGAATTGGTGAATGATGTATCAGTGTTCCTGTTCTGCATAGTGAGAAAAACTGTGTTTAATTTCTAAAATTGAAATCCTGCTGGCATGGGTTGCACGGGAAATGAGCAGTTGTCTGTTTGTTCAGTATTGGCAGAGGCTGATGGTGTTTTCTTAAAGGATTAACTGTGCTAACTTTCATGAAACCTGTGGGGATTATGGGGAGCCGTCCATCCAAAGCAGTAGATGGGCTAGTGTGCTCTCTGCTCTATCCAGTTTCAGTGGGACTTTCCAAGGGGTTGTGGCATCTTGAAACACAAACACAAATGTCAGAATCTCACTCCTGTTGGCATTTATCTACCCTGTGAAATTTCCTATTCTCCTGTTCCTTAAGAGATTTTAAGGTAGCCAACTGCCTTAAAGTCAAAGTTGTTTTACTTTTGTTTACTTTTTACAAGTTGTCAAAAGTAGATGTAACTGAGTTCTTAGGGGGAGATTTAATCACAGAGGGCTGGTTGAAGAGCGGCTGCAAAATGGAAAGAAGGAAGTTCAATCAAGTGTAACTGCATGTAGGGATTAAGGCACAAAACTGGAAAAGACAGTGTGCAAGCTTCCAAATGATGCTGTAAGGAGAAATGAGAGCTTAGGAGAGCACCCTTTCTACTGCTCTGCAGTAGGAATTAATTTCTTTATTGTGTCTGTAGAAGGATTTTTGATTATTTGACAGTAATGATCTTTATTTGGAGCCAGACAATTCAAGTAGGTAAAATTGTCATTGTAGGTGAGCAAAGGAAGGCAAGCAATTTGATTGACAAAATAATACTAAATGAGACAGAGCTCAAAGGAGCAGCAGAGTACCAGCAACCTACCAGGAGTATGGGAATCCTGGAGATGGCTTTTGCTTGGGCTTAACTGAGAATGAAGGAACTTTGGTCATGTAGAGTTTGTGGTTTGAGACCTCAAATAAGCCCATAAAACTGGAGTTGCATGGCACTGAAGATATGCATTGGGAAAAGAACAGAATCTCTTCCTCCTGACTGGAAAACTAATTAAACAAGACTATTAAAAGCATTCACAATTAATAGCTATACTGCTTTAGTTCCTCCAAATAGCCAAAGTATTTGGCTCTGACCCTGCAAAAGATCTGAGCACCTACATAATTTCAGCAGGTAGTCCTTTTTGAAAGCAGGGAGCCTGGTCACATTGAAGTTACAGATAGAAGCTGTGTGCCCTTTTTCATGAAGAAGAATTTTCATGCTTTACTATTATAGTCATACAAGATATTACAATAACATGAAAAAAAAGCTATAAAAGTTGTTGAGATTATATGTTGTGGCGGTTTCAGTTCAAAACTGGGTGGAAAAACCAGTTTTGTGTAGTATATTAAAAATGCATTATTTTGCAATATATCAAAATATATGAAGTTATTTTATTCTGGAGCTGCTTGTCTTAAAATATCACCTAGCGCAGCACAAAACAAAAGTTGTTATGCTATCAATAATTTAAAAGCATTAAAAAACACTTCTATTTCTCATAAAAGCAAGAAAAGCACAAGCTTAGCATTGGAAAAATAAACAGGGGCAAGTTTATATGTGTTCCAAGTGGTGTTCCAGATTTAGACAAAAAGCTTACAATTAGCCGCTGAATCTTTCTTTACTTGTCACCACACTTCACGAGGCAAAGAGCCTTGATGAAAGCTATACCTAAATGCAGTTGTAATGGGAGATTAGGGGAGAATTGGCCTTTTGTTCGTTTCCAGAATGCAGTGAAAACTGTTTAAATTTGCATGTGTTTATTTTCTCTCTCTTTTTTTTTTTGTTCGCTAGATGGTGCTGTCGGAGGGGGTTCGACTCCAGTTACTCGCTGGCACTTGCCCAGCGTGAGCTGGAGTCTGAGCCAAGGCTGTGAAAGCATCATCATTTTGAAGAGCCCTGTGTACACTTGGCCCGTGTAAAACAGTGGTGCGGGAGAGCTTTTGCCATGACTCATAAAGAGAATGTGGTATATCAGGGTAAAAATTGATTCTGAGACTACAATGTCTAAACTATGGAAAAAAGTAGTGCAGAGATGGATGTTCCCAGAGAGGCCGTATTTTTCTTTTATTTTCATAAGCAAGGATTTTATGGTGCCAGAACACAGCAGAATGCTGTTATCTCAGCATGATCTAAGAAAATCTAAGTGCCTGATCCAAGGGGATTAAATATTCTGCTGAACCAAGGGATATTTGGTGTGCCTGAAAAAGCTATTTTCTGGTAGGAATCTCATTTCAATATTGATTCCCGCCAAATAAAAAAAAAAGAAGGAAAAGCTGTGTTTTTATGATGAAAGTATAAACTCTTTCCAGCTTTCTGTTTTAAGTTCCTTTTCTACTTTAGCATACTTCTTATTGAAGGGATTAAACAATATTTAAACTTTAAAAAATACAAATTAAGATTAAAAGGCAATAGTTTTGGTTTATTAACATTTACTTTATTGGCATTGAAGTTATTCCTACACTTCTGAGAAACTGCTGCAGGGTCTAGGCCCATAGGAAATCTAGTTTATATTGCTTTTTTAATATAATGTTTTGTTTTGAGTGTAAAACTTGGCTTTTGTTTGCTGGAGTTTTTTGTGGGTCTTTTGAGAGGGAAAGAGGAAAACACCTACAGCTTTTGCTTCTGAAGGTGGTCTTCACAGAGAATGCACAGTCCAAAGGGGTTCCAGCAGTTTTCTTTCCTGATAATATCCCTTGCTTAAGAAGGCCAAAATGCAGACTCACCATCTGCATTGGTACATTTTCATCCTTTTGAAAAATTAAATGAATTTAATATCTGTGAAGGTGCCTGGTGACAGCTCTACAGATTAATCTAGTTTACAGACTCTGAAGAACAGCTGTAGCTGAGAAAGTGAAAAATTTGTCCGTGCAGCCTCAGCAATGTCCCCTGGTCTGACCCAAAGTGAGGCCAGCTGGTGTAGAAGATGTGTCTAGTGGATTTATGGGCTTTAATCTTTTTCCTTTGTTGGACCTGCAGAAAGACCTGTCCAGGGAGTCACTCACTGCAGCCTTTCCTTTCTGTCACTCCTCTGACAGCTGACATGGAAAATCCCAGCTTTCAGTCAAAGCTGGCTTCTTTACATTTTAGTTTATAGGAACAATGCCAGCTGTGAGTGATTTGGAGGCTCAGAAAACATGATTAGAAATTAAAATTGCCCTCCTCTCTTGTAATGAGGCAACAGGACGAGGAGTAGCTGGAGTAGGGATCTTCCCCTGAATGTGCACCCAGGTGTTTCTGGCTGCAGTTCAGCCCCTGATTGTGATGTTTGTGGCTGAGCTGAGCTGGCAGATAACGTGAGGGCTTCTAATCTGCCTCCCTGCAAAATCAGCTGCCTTGCTTTGAAAGGTTGCTGGTAGTAAGATCTTAACTTGTTCCAGCTGTTCTCAAAGCAATACCTTGTCAACTCCCCTGGCCTGCAGAAGAGAGTTATGCACTTAATGTAAATATGATGTTAAAAGGATTTAATTCATTCAGTTCAGAAGGTTGCGTGA